AAATAAAAATGGAAAAAGATAGTATACAATATGCTGCATTTAGCACACCTCAAGAAAAATATAAATGGTTAGTTATACCATTTAGTCTAAAAAATGCACCACAAATATATCAAAGAAAAATGGATAATATATTTAAAAAGTTTAATGAATTTCTAATGGTGTATATAGATGATATATTAATATGTTCTAATAGTAAAGAATAGCATAAAAATCATTTAATCCAATTTATTAACAAATGTAAAAAAGAAGGAATTGTACTAACTAAAAAGAAATCCATAATAGAAAAATAAGAGATAGACTTTCTTGAATTATCAATAGATAAAAGAGGAATAAAATTATAGACTCATATATTCAAAAAGATAGAACGTTTTCCAAACAAATTAGAATCCAAAGAACAGATACAAAATTTTTTAGGATGTTTAAACTATGCGGAAGGATTTATTGAAAATTTTTCTAAGAAAAGACATAAAATTCAAATTTTACTTAGAAAAACAAATATTAAATGATGGAATGGAGAACATACAGGAATAGTTAAATTATTAAAAGAGAGAATGTAAAAATTTATCAAAATTAAGATTATCAGATGAAAAAGATAATTTGATTGTTAATATTGATACCTTAGATAAATATTGACAGCAATATTAAAAACAGATCTAAATGAAATTTGTAGATACTCAACTGGAACATTTAATCAAGCAGAAATAAATTATACTACTCATGAGAAAGAATTACTAGCAATTATTAGAGGAATAAAAAAGTTCTCATTATTCTTATTGTCCAAAAAATTTACTGTTGAAACTGATAATTCTCAAGTTGTAGGATTAGTCAGGAATAAATTACCATCAGAACCTCAGTATAGAAATCTCCATAGATGGCAAGCTTATTTAGAATTTTATAATTTTGATATAGTCCATATTAAATGAGTTAATAATTTTCTTGCAGATTTTCTTGACAGAAATATAGAATTTGCTGATAGATAAAGACAAGGTCATGGAATTATACCAATCTATCCTGCATATACAAAAAGGACAGATTTTCTTAGGGAAGAATCCGAAGATATAAACTCTGGAGCAACCCAGATCTTAGAAATGTTCAACTCAAATATAAAAATACTGTTGAATATTACAACATTGCCAAAAATTTGTTTGATAAAAAATTCTCGTGCTTGTGCCAATATGAAAATTGGATGCTGCTATCCAATGGAAGATATGCAAAATCAGAAATTTTAAAAGACTATATTACAAGATTTGATATACATCAATTTCCAGGATGTCCTACCACTATAAAATAATCTTGCCAATTAAGAGAGTGCCCCAACTGCATGTGAAGAAATGAAAGAAGAAGACAAAGCACCTTTTGACAAAGGTGTATGAAGGACAATAATACTACATGTGAAGACATTGAAGATAAAGAGCAATAATAGAAAAATATGCTATTTGGATAGAAAAGTTGAACTAATATGTGAAAATGTAGGACCAAGGAAGAAAATAGAGAGGCAAGAGTGCCTTTGCTGATGTACTCAATGATGTAATAGAGTCTAAAAAATTTGTATAAATAGAAACATTACCATTGATAGTAGATATATCATCCTATCTTGAAATCTCGAGTTGTAAGCAATAGCACATTCTCAGTTTGAAAAACCAGTTTTTCTGGAAATCCCTCTATATCAAATAGAAGTCTTGTATAAATTCTGATAGAAATAAAATTTCAATATTTTGATATCAATATGAGTTTCTAAATCTTTTTCCCATAGATTTTTGAATGATCTAATAGAAAGTTTTCTTTTTATTTTAGCAAAAAGAGAGTTTTCTTTAACAGAAGTCTAGAATTTTATTTTTTAGAAGTTGATACAGTGAGAGCAAGTAGCTCAAATAGTAACAATTCCGTGAAGGCAGGAGGCCGTTGAAGGAAGCAGTTTACAAATTTAGAGCTCGAAGGTCACTCGGTTCTAAGAATACAGGTCTAGATCAAACCTAAGGTAAAACCATTAAACTTTTGCTAAAATTAGAATGAATCTTTTTAAGATCTTAAAAGAATCACAGGGATAATTGCATGATGATTATTTTGATAAATGTCAGGATATATAATTGAAGGATTATATAATTTATTAGAAAGAATGTTAGAAAAAAATAAAGAATATTATATCTCAATTAAAAAATATAAATTTACCATTTGAAGAATATGATATTTTACTTAGAAAATATGATATGTATGCTGCAAATTATTCCTATTTATTAGATCATAGAATGATTTCATATTCAATTATCCAAAATAGAGTAAATATAAGATAAAAAGACTAAAAGAGTAGGATATATGTTGCAATATAAAAAAAATCATTTCATTAAGGATAATATAGACATTTCCATAAAAAGGAACAGTGATAGGTCAAATAGAAAAATCTCTCAATTTTCTCAATCCTTTCTATCATATTTAATTGGATCATTTGATCTAATATCAACCAAGAAATGATCTCGCCAAAGGCCATCCTTTTCGCCAAAATTTTGGCTTTTCTTGTTAGAGAGGTTTTTTAGAAAGGAGAAATTGCTTGTGAAATGGAGTTGTGAAGTGCAACACGGTGAGTAAGAATGCTATTAGAGTGATTAATTTAGGAATTAATTAGGGTTTTGAGAATAGGTTAAGAAGATTTGAAAAGCAGTATAGTCGACGACCGAGAGGAATTCTTTGTCGAAGCTTTGGGCAGGTGTGGGAGGAGGAAGAAGAAGGTACAACAAGGCTATTGTGTTGTCTCACGTGCCAAAAGATTTATCCTTCTGTATTCTTCCTTGAAGAGGAACATGTCAAAGAAGGTTATGGTCTTCTTTTGCAATTCTATCAAATTTCGTTCAAAATTTTTTAGATACATTCAGATTAATTGGTTTGCTATCCATGGAAACAAAAGCAGTAGAATCGAACTTCCACCTTTTTTGGTTTTTGCTGAGGCAACGGTTGCGATTTTGAGGTTGTTGTTAGCTTTCCCAATGATTTGAGCGTGGAGATCATTCTCTCTGATTTTGGTGTAGGGATGGGCCAAAAAAAAAAAGAAAAATTGTTGTGCATTTAATAAAGTTTTAGGGCAATTATATATTAAAATTCTAATTATGTAATTTTACTTAAAGGCTATTTAAATAAATAAATAAAAAATATTAAAAATTGTGGTGCATATAATAAAATTGTGTAGTGGTAATATAATTGTCCATAAAGAAATGGAAAATACAATTTGTAAATGATTAAAGGAATATGATTTTCCAAACTAAAAAACAGGGAAAAAAAGTTGGACTTAGCATCTGATGATTGGGTGTTTGTTCTTTTATTTTTCAAAGGTCCAATCGTATGTTGATAGGTGTGCACCCATTTTTGAACTTTTTTTTAGTCTGTTTGTGCAGCATAATTCATAACTAAAATGTCATTACATACAAAAAGACACGCATTCATATTACTAATGATTAATGCTTCAAGTACTTTTTTGTGGTCTTGGGATCAAGTATACGTATACAAATTTTCAAATATTTACACTCGCATAGAAAGTAGTTGATTCAGAAAATGATGAATCCTAGACTTGATTTTTTCAGAAGTTGCGATTAATAACATGTAATGCAGATGAGCTTGTGATTATAGCCAACCACACAAAGTGCATTCAAGATAAAGTTAGAAATATTTTTTTAGTTTGCTCATCATGATAATTGCAGATATCACCTGAAAAAGAACTTGAAGACCAATTTTTTTACGGAATGATTGCAACTTTGTTTAGGGCAATGATGAGGCTTATATGTAATAGAATTTGAGTCCAACATTGCAGCTCTATGCAGTATAAAGAAGGGTGTCAAATAGTACCTTTTAGAAGAAGTTTTTCACTATTGGATTAGAGTATATTTTACCGAGATATGTTATAATATCATGACTACGAACAATGTAAAATCCTTAAATGGTTTGTTGAAAATGCTCAAGAATTTCCTGTGGTCAGTTTGATTAAGTATATTCAACAGATACTGCAAATGTAGTCTTATGAAAGATGTGCATGAAATATAATGAGTAACGTGGGTTCGAACGCCCAAATTTATTGTGAAACAAACATTAGTGTCTTGCAGCAAAAAATTATATATAAAAAATAATACAAAGTCAAGTGTATAATTTATTCGTACCATTATAGTGAGGGGAAAGTTGTGCAACGAATATCGACAACATAACTCTCCTTCGACATCCAAATTTTTCAATTTACCTCCCATTTCACGTGTAAATATATTCATCGTGTATTCAAATGAAAATTTTTCCCATGAATAGTTCTCAAACCTGTCGAGATCATCCACAAGTCCAACAACCATAAATTGATTAGGTTTTTTCCTTTGTAGCTCACAAAATGTAGGCAAAGATGACGATCAATCTTGCATAGTGCATAGCTTGTTCTTGTAATTTATATCGAGCTTCCCATAAATATCGTGACCTACAGTTTACATCTACTCATAATTGTAGCGTCAACTTCAATCTTCTCCATAGCACTGCAAATTGCAAAATAATTGCAAATATTAGAACAAGTAATGGCAGTTAAACACATAAAAACAAGATGCATAAGCTATATAAACCAAGTTAAACATATAGATTTCCTATAAGAAAAATGAAATTCTGTACAGAAAACGCTGTAGTACTTCACAACAAAAATGTTCTGCTAACACAATTACCAGCTTTATAATCAAATGTGAAATCATCATGAAAATAATGCTTCATTTCACGCGTTACTTGAGAGTTTAATAAGAGGAATTAAGTCCAATTCCAAGCACAAATTCCTAATTTTAATTCTTAAAATTAGAAGACAGAATATATCAAATCTGGAAAGAGTTAAAAACAATAAGCCTAGAGTCACTCTCGACTCACATACATATTTGGGAAAAAAGTTAAAGACAATGAGCCTCAAGTCACTCTCAACTACATCTTAGTAGTCAGAGGAAAAGAAAGTAAATTCGATTCCCATGCTAGCAGCGACCAAAATGGGAGCAGCCTAAATTGTGAAAACGGGTTGTGAAAGAGCAATACAAGCATCGTGCTGCTAAGCGAAGTAGCATGAATTGCACCCCAGATGACGAAAGTCCAGTAGTCCTTGCCACCTTGACACTAACAGCAAAATGAATGGTACTAAGAAATTTTATCCTAAACGAAATCAAGGCATACTATCAACAAACATAATTGGGCACCATGTATATTATCTCATCTTCAACATCCTCTTTTACTTCCTATGTCATCCTATCAAATCAGCATTACATTGTAGGACAAGTATGATATCAATTTTGTGCCTCATTTTAAGTATATATCACTATTTGAAAAGTTTTACTATAAACTATATCCATCAAAAGTAATTAATAAACCTTAAATTAGTCTATGCAGAAGAACGAGAATACACATGAACCCTAACATTCAAACAAAATTCAATTTCTCAAATTCAGAGAACCAAAATCAAGTATCCTTCTCACTAGAAACCGAAAAAAAATAAAAATAATAAAAATAATATATATATATATATATA